GGTAGTCCGATGTCTACCTCTTACCCGATTACTGCGGGCGTAGCTGTCACACGTTTCCACGTCAGCCGGATGTGACAGGGGTCAAGCTCCCTGACACGGTTTTCTAGCGAATTGGCGCTGAGGCCAGACCTTTTAGCTGCAATCTAAAGTGGCATTCGTGTTTAGGGGTTCCGGGGTGCACCCGCGACAAAGTTAAATAAAACACGGCTCAATTTCTGAAAACGACTATTACAAACAGTTGATGGTGCCCAGAGAAGTCCTATAAGAGGGAGCTTGTATTAATCTGCTTCCCTAAGAAAGCTGGAGCATATGCCATCGCAAAGGGACAACTATCTAGAGTTATCATGCGCGATGACGCCCTTTTGCGGACGAGTTTCCTGTAACGAAAGCTGTTTACGACCGAGACGGGAGAGGGCTAAAAGGATTTGTGAGTGATTAATAACTATCAGTCCCCTACTGAGCTAACATATCCGTACTTAAACGGACCCACTAGAGCGGTATGTCTCACTTTCTATTCAATGGACAATGCGGATATCTCTATCATTTAGCACTATGCTCGTCTTTACTTCTATTACGACTCTTCAACAGGAAGAAGGTTAGTCCGCCACAAGGCTGTTCAAGCGCAGTGATGTTTCTGCTCAGGACACTACCTGCGCTAATCGAAGATGTTCCTCATGAAGACAGTGGTAGCTGGAGGGGCCTTGCAGTGGCGCCACAGTGCCACGTCATGTCTGTTTGCCTGCGCTCTCTCATAGAGTAGAAAAGTGACGCTACCATTCCTCTCCAAGTTTTCGAAAAGACGGAGCAAGACAAGAAGCGACGCGACGTGATCGCGTCACGACGTGGCCCCCTCCACTACTTGGCCCTTTTTCGTGAGCGGCACACGCCCCAACTCACTGGAACTAGAGTCACACCTATTCTGTTTCAGAAACCTACAATTGGTACACATATAGAAAGTTCTTCTGATCTTACTCGTACTCCCAATACTCCTCATACATCTAGTAAAAACCCCCGACGTGAGTTGTATCGAACTTTGTTCCAGAATGACGCCCTTCTCACTTGACTGACACTGAGCCCCTCCTCTGCGGCTCCCCTAGAGATCGTGATAATGAAAATTATCACCTCTGATATGCACACGCACTTATATTTGAAACAAGAGAAAGTGAGCCTAAGGCTGCGTTTATACTTTGCGCAGCGTAGCGTAGCGCTTCCAGCGTACGCCAGCGGCAGTGCCGAAGAGAGGATGCATATCGATCTAGCTTCACCAGCGTCACCAGCGGCACGCTAGCGTACGCTAGCGGCACGCTAGCGTACGCCAGCGTTTCTCCAGCGTTTCACCAGCGTTTTGCTAGCGTTTGCAGCGGCAGGGGAGTAGAGACTATGGGAGAGCTGGAGGGTACAAAACACATCGATTGCGCGTCTCTCACTCGCCCTTAGTCTCTACAATGCACATCGCTTCTGCGTCTCCGACGGCCCATAGTCTCTACAATGCACATCGCTTCTGCGTCTTCGACGGCCCCATAGTCTCTACAATGCACATCGCTTCTGCGTCTTCGACGGCCCCATAGTCTCTACAATACACGTCGATTCCGCGTCTCTGCCGGCCACATAGTCTCTACTCCCTGCCGCTGCAAGCGCTAGCAAAACGCTGGTGCCGCTGGAGAAACGCTCGAGAAACGCTGGTGAAGCTAGATCGATAGCTATGCTTCCCGTGCCCTCGCTACGCCAGCGTGCGCTAGCGCACGCTAGCGTACGCCAGCGTGCCGCTGGTGAAGCTGGTGAAGCTAGATCGATATGCATCCTCTCTTCGGCACTGCCGCTGGCGTACGCTGGAAGCGCTACGCTACGCTGCGCTACGCTACGCTACGCTGCCGCAAAGTATAAACGCAGCCTAAACGGCGTCGAAACTTCGGGTAGGGACTGGCTTTGAATTGTTGGTTTGATTAACTCCTAAGATATCCGATCCAGATTTGATTCTTCGGCCCTATAAACGCTCAGGAAGGGGCCATTTTCACTGTCGAGATAGAGATCCTATCCGTGTCCCAGAGATGGGGAGGGCGTGGCTGTACAATTTGTTCGAACGTTGATTGCTTTTGCTTGGGATTATTGCCCGTTTTGGAAATTTGGTAATACATGCCTTTGTCCAGGCACAATTTGCGGGTGCATAGTGCCTTGAGAAATATCCTACGAAAAACAACCTAAGGTTGCGTTCATACTTTGCGGCAGCATCCACTAGCGTTTCAAGCGCCCGGCAGAGTCAGCTACTGGGGAAGCATTAGATTGATCTGCCAGCGTCTCCCAGCATTCATCAGCGTCTACCAGCGTCCACCAGCGTCTCGAGGGCCTCGGAGGTATAGATATCGATCTAGCGTCTCCAGCGTTTGCGAGCGTGCACCAGCGTCTCGTCCGGGAGAGGAGAGTATGCCGCGATAGGAGGGTAGTAGACAACTGGTATCCTCCTATTGCACCATACTCTCTACCCTCCACCATCTTATCTCCTCATACTCTACCAGCTGTCTGCTATCCTCCATACTCTCCCTCCCGGACGCTGGTAGACGCTGGTGCACGCTCGTAGATGCTAGATCGATACCTATTGGTAAACGCCGGGAAACGCTGGTGCACGCTAGTAGACGCTGGCAGACGCTAGATCGATATCTATACTTTCCCAGTCGCTGACGCTGCAGGACGCTCGAAACGCTAGTGGACGCTGCCGCGAAGTATGAACGAAGCCTAAACATTCAAGGCTACGCTCGAGCGAAGCGCGCAACCACGTCCTCCTCATCTCCAGGATATGGAGTGTACAATGTCAAAATGGCTTTTTAAGATATAACCGACGAATTGCGATATTTGCTTTTCAGGGCCCAAGCTCCTGTCTTCAGCAGTGGAGCGGAAGAGCGCGAAGATCACAAATGACGTCGCTTCTGTCGACACGTCTGTTCCCCCGAATGCGACTTCTGGCCTTGATGACATCGGCAATAGTACGAATCCTGCTGTTCATGCAAACGCGTCGGGAACCCCTACCGTTCCTGATACTACAACTGATGATTTCCCTACTGCAATTTATATACCATTCAACGACAGCAATACTTCTGCTATTCCTCCCTTGATCACATTTACTCCTACTAGTTTCTTGCCTACACCCACGACTACTAGTGTTGATACAGGGTTTGCTAGCCAGCAGCCTACCACTGCACCCACACAACCACTTCTATTTTCAACTTCGACTTCATCTGCCGTTCCGAGTTCGGTGGCTTCGCCCGGCTTTCAGAGCTCGGTGACTTCGTCCGACTTTCAGAGTTCAGAGACCTCGCCTGACTTACAGAGTTCGCCCACAACGGATTCACTAACTACCGAAAAGTACGATTTGCTTTTCTTAATAATTGAGTTTCAAAAGAACCACGGGCCCAATTCGGCTACGGGGGGGGGGCATTTCTGCACTTTCGTTGCTTCACTAGTTCCGGTTTACAAGTCTCACTCTGGTGAAACCTGTGAACTCTTGTGAAGCTGGAGCAAGCTCGTCAAGCCATCATGGTAAAACCTGTCAACTCGAGCTGTCTAGATGGGTCGACACGTCGATAGGAAGTAGCAAAAGTGCCAAATGTCCCCCGTCGCCGAGCTGCCCCGAACCGCGTTACGGCGACGGCAGCGAAAAAATCCTTCCCGCCTGAACCTAACTGATTTGAGATGTAGGTGCTGCTGTGCCATCGTGACTCAACTAGCCAAGAACTACTAGCTCGCGGGCGTCGCCGTGGCGTGGATATCCGCAAGCATATCCTTTTACTCCTGTTACTGGAATAACCCGTTAGCCGCAATGCTTTGAGAGTCGTTCCAATACAGCGCCACAACAAGAATGGTGCAGAGCTTTCCTAGAGAAAGAGTCTTACCTCTGCAGATGGGCTTCGTAGTCGTACCTCTGCAGTGGACTTCGAGACAAGGAGGAGAGAGGGAGCGAAGGAGGGAGTGTTCTACAAGATAACGCACATCTTAATTCATTGACTCAGCACGAAAAAATCGAATGCAGGGGAACACACGGATTAATACCCTCACTCCCCCCCCCCACTCCAAGCCAAAGTGAGCGAAGTGCGCCGAAGCCTCTTACCACAACTACTTTCCCGACGTCATAGCATGGATAAAGCCCCATCTAGATCAACCACGTTATCCACCTCTGTAGGTGAGTTACCCAACAGTAGACTTGTCTGGGAGAGAAATAACAATAACGTGGATTCGGAAAGAACTGACTGTCTAAACTTTCTAAGGTCAGAAAGTGGTACACGCTCTACCGTAGCCAGCGGAGGACATACACATGAAAAAGCCCCAGCTTAACTGATTGTAGCCTGTGGTTCCGATACGAGCTAGTTTACTGCAAAAGAAATCGATTAAACACACGAAAGTATTCAACCTTACAACTGTTCTCGGAAGGAAGAAGAACTCAAGCCACAAAGCAGCACCATGGAACCATCAAACGAGAGACTAAACCTTTCGAATATCGATTGAGTCAGTCAGCCCAAGGTCCTAGTTCTGTTTTGCTACACACAAAAACTGCACTGACAACTTTCTGGCATCCTTCCAACACGCCAGAAGTGAATGCGACGCTTTCAAAGATTAACGGCTCTGGACAGTGCAAGGATTGGTTGGTGGTTACTTGATCTGGCATCTTGCACTTACCGTGGTCAGTAGTTCGGATCTGCCCGTAATGTTCTTCAGCAGCTAGTTGTGATAAACATTCTCCCCATACCTCACATTTCAAATGGTCCTTTACTAGGACTTTTGCAGGCTCCCAGGTATTTTCAGAATTACAGACTGCCAGTATGCTAGCAATGAGACCGGTGCTCGTGAGGACACATCGTGGCTACCTCTCAGAAGGGTTGCCACCGCTCTGAATCCTCTCATCTCTGAGCGCGTTGGCGCAGCTGCAAATGCTTGGGGCGCTTCTTGCCTTGCTGCCGGGGTAGGATCTACCCCATTATAAGACGAACTTTTACTATTCCACGACTACTACTACTCAGTCTGCATTCTCTCTTGATGATACGTTTTATTGTTGTGCACCTTGCTCGAAGATACGATTCGGCTGTGGAGTGGCCCCAATTGACAGGCAAAGGCCTTCATCTTGAGATAGACAGGGAAAACGGACCATCTGCAGTCTGAGTGTTTTCTTCCAATATTCTTTTCTCGTTTCTAATTTATGGTGGCGATCGGGCACGCCTCGATCGATTCGAGTTGTACTCAACAGTCACCTTGGCGTAAAAACTGAAGTTATGGGCAGAGCTGCAACCTTCCCCGCAACGGTGTTGCAAGGCCGAGGCAGAAGGGTAGTAGTTTGGTGAGTGGAAAAACTTGTCGTGCTCGTTTAGAGAGCAAGAAGTTGATTTTCAGAGTGGAGAAGCGAGCCGCTTCAGCTTTGATTCCACATGTGCGGAAAAAATTGGAATGTGGCAAAACGTAATCCACTGTGGGTTGAACCACGACCTTCCCAACAGCAGCCCAACTAACCGCGCTGAAGCCGCGCTTCCTGTTGCGAGCGCCTACAGAAAACTGAGAGGTGTCATAAAGTTTCGAAAGCTGCGTCTGCTTATTATGTTGCCTTCGGCTTTCAACGGCCAAAGGTAGGGCAAAGTTCGGACCACCATTTCGCGAATGGAACCAACACCACTCAACGAGAATGGTCCAAACATCGTGTTCAGCCGTTCAGTCACAAAAGCTCTGGAAGTTTAAGAGGGTTTGATGGGCGTGATGCGCCTAATGCGAATTCACTGTGACTTTATCTCGATGGCTTCGGAAACGGAATTACAACCAGGGCTCGGGATTTCTGTGGGGACCGCCCAGCCACCAGAAGTGAACAGCCTCTTCATAGGAGTTACCCACAGAGAGGTGGCTCTTGAGACTGTCCTCCTCACAGGAAAAATCGCTTCAATCAACATATCGACTGATCGGAAAGCTTATTTCGACAGAAGCTGCAATCGATCAATCAAGTGCTCATTTGGATGCGACATCCTGTCCGCGGGTTTCAGCAATCCCAATGGGGAACCTATGGTTCCCCATTGAGACCGCTGAAACCCGCGGTCCAGGATGTCGCATCCAAATGACGTCCGGGGTGTGTCGTATCTCTGGCTGGTTCAGAACTTCTGAACACCATTTTGTACACGTTATAGCACCATCTGGGATGATCTATCCATGGCCTTCTCGAAACGACCTGGACTCTGGATATTCCAAGGTTTCAGGGACGAGCTGGACAATCCGACGCATCGCACACAGCACACGTTTGATTAATCAATCACCGTGGTTGTTTTGTCTTCCTAAAACACTATGAGGAACGTGCCATTCGTGCCATTCATCTCAGGAATTCGTACCATTTCATCATAAGAACTCAAGCGGAGCCTACTGAGTCCACAACAACTAGAAAGCGCGCTGCCTCACACCCATTCAACCTCTCCAAATATCTATGGCTCAGAGACCAGACATTGATGCATGAGCCAGTCCCTCTCAAATGGATTTCGATCCTATCCCTGATGTGTCAAAATGCAGTTTTTGCCGATATTTTTTCTAGGAAAGGTGATTCCATTTGCCATTCAGCGATTGCTCCTCCGACACGGAACTCGATAGGCCATTAAGCAGATTGCTATGCGTGGTGATATCGACCCTTCGTAGGTGACGAGCAGTCTTGGCCGGCAGCCGAGATAGGCTTGATTTCATTATAATCAAATCAGGGCGTACCCTGCAAAGGGTGCGATAGACCGCACGTAACGGTCGCCGATCGCGGCACCTTTAGCTCGCGCATCCGCAGACCCTCGCGGAAATTCCACTTGGCACGGGCATCTACCCCGTGCAACATGGCGTCAACCACGATGGTGCTATTCGCACTGCCCTCCACTATAAAAATGGCGTGATAGCGTCAGAAAAAGACTTCCAGAGTTCTGAACCAGTTTAGAATTAGCTACACCCCAGTATCTCATTTGGATGCGACAACCTGGACCCGGTTTAAGCGGCACCTAATGCGGGAACCAGAAAGGTTCCCCGATTGGGATTGCTGAATCCCGGCGTTCCAGGTTGTCGCGTCAATGAGAGCCAGGGTCAATTGGATGCCAACGGGTCATAAAGCTTGAATAAGGCTTCTAGTCGATCGATTGGCTGATGATTTTCATTTCTCGAAGAGGTTGGAGGCAACTGCAGGGACACTTGGCTCTCCATGACGGCCTTCTAGCTTGGATGGGATACCATCATGGCTTGCGCCTCAAAGTTACCAGATGTCCCGTAAAGCTCACAGAAAGCACTGTAGAAGCACCGGAGATGCCAACTGACCGTTTTGCGTGCACGTTCGTCAGCCTGCTCGGAAAACATCGGCACTGAGGCGCGTGGCTCAGTGTGGGCTGTGTAAAAATGCGGTAGAACGTTTCTGGTTCGTTTCCGCATACGACCAAGTTTTGCCACTTCCTTCTGCAACAAAGCCGTGTGCGCTTCTACGGAATATTTGCGTGTTTATAAACAAAACTTCGCCCCATACCCCACTGCCACCGCTCACGGAGAACGCCGGGGGCCATGGAGCTGAAATCCCGATGCATATGAAGCTACCACTTCACCAGAGGTGTCTTCCTCGCCTTTCGCCAAGAAATGCCGTGATTTCTGCACAACGGACCAATCCAAGATATCCACTACTTCCCCTCGATTCGATATTTGCTGCCCATATTTGCAGTGTAGGAGTCCTCCCAATGAGCCCACTCACAGACGAATCGTATCTTAGACAGGTTCAGTGCGACAAATCACTAAATAAGAAAATGACGACAGAGAAGTGATTACACTAACCAGCAAATAAGATGCCCAACCAGGGAATCGATCCCTGCTCTTCAGTTCCAAGTCAGAATACATAGCCGCCAAACCACGATAACGCATATCAAGTCCGCCTTGTGTCGCAAGCTACGATTCCGACGTGAGTGTGCTCCCTCCAAAGCCCTATGTTACTCTATCAAACGCGATCACAAAGCTGTTCATCGCTCCAGCAAATTTCGTCAGAAAGCGAATTTCCAACAGGCGAAAAGGTTACTATCGACGAGAGTAATCTCCTGTGCAGTTCGTCATCGAACCAGGGTAGCCTGCTCGGCAACTGCGTTAGCAGGCTTTGACAGCACTGATGAACGCTCCGTTGTGATCTCCGGCGTTTCTCCAGACCTTTCTGACAAGACCGAGTGGTCGCGAGTGGAGCGTTGTTCTTCAATAGCCTTCCCCCCCCCCCCGTCGAGGCTAAGAGTGCGATCAGCCATCTCGAACGAACACAAGTAGCTGTGAGGCTTTGGAACTCCGAATCCAAATGAGCCTCGAGGCGTTCCGTTCTGCAGATGTTGCCCCGCCCACTTGCGTTCAAAACTTCTTGAAGATCATTTCTTGTACAGGAATGGTATCATTCGCACAGGTGACATCATTGATTACCTACTGCAAGGGGTCTGGTGTAATTAGGCTCGAGTGCCAGATGCGTAAACCCGGATTCCGTAGATCGTAGGAAAAGATGTGAACAAAACCACCATCTACAAACCTTTGGGAGAGAGTGATACATACAATATCAGAATCTGCAGACTTTCTCCAATTTCCCATACTCTTTTAGAGTGGTATGAGCTCCCCCAACATGGTTGAAACTCGTTTCCTTTCTATGACTGACTTATATATGACTCTTCGTTAAAAAATTCCGCCAACATTGCATCGCATTTCTCGAAAAACAAATTGTCCACTCATTGTCAGTCCCGTGGATCGTGATCGCCTCCGTATGTGGGGAAATGGATCCACAGCTGCGGCAAAGGGCCAAAAATGCACGAGGACGGAAATGGAAGTGAGATACTTCCGGCAGCTGTCTTTCCTTCACATTCCGCACGCCATGCCAACATCCAGTCACACGCCTAACCATAGCCAAACGCGCCACGTCTGCGTCCTCTCGCATCTAGTTGTTCTCTACCAGCTGAGTACGCGCTTCATTGCGGAACCTTGGTATCGACGCAAGTGCTACACCTAGCGTGGGGCGCACTACGGAGGCAGCACTCGGGTATGACTACGCTCCAGCCCCATTCTCGCGCACTTTTGAGCGGAAAATTTGCACGCTACTGGAGCTGCGGACCCGTTTACCTTGAATATCGCAAGGGCCATCCTCGAAAGGTGAGTTCACAGCTCGTCTTTGAGCAATTCTGGACCTCCGGGGAATAGATCTCTGTTCAAGGGGGTGAAGAATAATCACTAATCTGTAGACCTCCCCCCCACAGGGCAAAACTAATAGTAAATGGTAACGCTTTGTTCCTTATTACAATTCCTCGTTTTCTTCATTTGAACAAGAATAAAAAAGAGATACAAATAGTCAGTGGTCGGAGAGTTCCAAAGCCTCAAGTGATGAATGCAGTGAACAGGATTCGGGGGGGGGGGGGGGGGGGGGGGGGGGGGGGGGGGGGGGGGGGGGGGGGGGGGGGGGGGGGGGGGGGGGGGGGGGGGGGGGGGGGGGGGGGGGGGGGGGGGGGGGGGGGGGGGGGGGGGGGGGGGGGGGGGGGGGGGGGGGGGGGGGGGGGGGGGGGGGGGGGGGGGGGGGGGGGGGGGGGGGGGGGGGGGGGGGGGGGGGGGGGGGGGGGGGGGGGGGGGGGGGGGGGGGGGGGGGGTAGTTGTGCGGTAGCGACGTTCTTCGCCACTAGGATCAGACACAGCCAATTTATAGCCTGGAGTAGATTGCACAGTCCACGTTGCTCATGTGGAGGATTTTTTTATCACTGCGTCCTCCTCACTAGCGCGTCCTGCTGTTCCTATCTTAAATCAAAGATGCACCTGTTAGAAAGGCACATTGTTTTGCTGTCCCCGCCCATACGATCAGCGTGAGCTGTGCCTTCAAGAACACCTTTGTAGTCCTTGCTAGAAACCTACAATCAGAAGAATATTCATGCACCTCATCACAGCGAAGTGCCTTACCCTCGTCGTGGTGGAGACAGTCAAGAGTAAAGTTTACACTTATTC